TTCCCCCCGGCCGCCGTGCGGGGCGACGCGTGAGGAGTTGGGGAGGAGCGGATGGATCCCTGGCACCTCTGAGTCGTCGGGATTTTTTCTCTGTTGCTCATCCTAAAGGTACATACTCGGCGAAATCTGTTTATAAAGCACACTTCGCTGCATTGGTCATGTGTAGTACTGCCTGCACCATTTGGAAGGCTCCTCTAAAATGCAAACTCTTTCTCTCGCTGGTCGTCAGGGGCCTGGACAGCGGACCGTCTCGCTAAGCGTGATTTGCCTCATAATGCTGCATGCTGTTTCTGCAAATTGCGCAAGAATTCGCTCATCATCTCTTCACGGGTTGCAGTGTAGTGACCATCATTTGGAGTTCAGTGCTTTTTTGGGCAAATCTGAGCGAGGTCAACCCTCAAAATGCTCCTGAATTCCGGGATTGGTGGCAAGAGGCCAGAAATAGAGTCCATGAATCCAAGAGGAATTCCTTGAACACCATGCTACCACTAATTATCTGGAGCATATGGAGGGAAAATGAGAGCTAACACTATGACCATGCAATTCTCCCAAGTTCTTCGAATTTGTTAAATATGTTGAAGTTGGTTAATTTAAGCATTACAATGGAAGGGTAAAAAGACAGGCCTGGCGCAGTGTGAAGTAATCCCTACTTGTGCCAAGGAGTCCCGGGTTCGACGTGGACTCTCTGCATTGCACTGTGCATGGGGAAGAGGCTTGCCTCGTATAATCCTCCCCAGACCCCACCTGGTGTGGGAGCTTCCAACACTGGGTCTGTCCTTTAATGGAAGGGTACATGATGCATATGAATAACAGGCAATACACTATAACAAGCTTCGCCTATCAGTAAGCACCAATCAATGCTTAGCAGTTTCACTACTTTGGTGGAAGATGATCCTATGATAACAAAATATTCTGACGTTCAGATTACTCCCCACCTTTTAGCCTATATAAGTTTCAAATTCCCACTTCCTAGGTAGCCTCCATTTAAATGGTTTTAACAATCAAGGAGACTGTTTCACACAGAATAAAATGGCACCATTGAATTCATAACTAGATGAAGCTGAAAATACGACAGTTAATACATCCACACATATGGATGTCCAACCTTGTGAACAGAACAAAAAGTCACATTATTATGAAGAATTGATGATCTGCCGAAGATTCATGTGCATGTTAAGATGTTACCTTACGTTGAGAGGCTACGGTAGCCCTATATAATGCTGTTGTGCCAGGATAAACAGCTAAGACTTGCCGACCCTGTCCAAAATCCTGAGCACTAGACGGATCTCCTTTCTTTGGAAATGGAATAATATATGACATAGGCAACTTGTATTTCCTGTACACATGGTTGGGATGGAACAGCATCAGTTTATGGGCCGCAGACATTAAGGATAAGGCAAATTAGCCCAGAGTGTACCAATAAAACTTTTTATTGCAAGGATATAGATTTTTTTTAAAGGAAAGTCAATAAAACAGCTGTGGTCTCACTGAAATTCATACAAATAAAAAAGAACAAAATGTAAAGAAATAGTACAATATGACAACTGATGTGGAATTGAGAAATTTAATGATCGGATGGACCTTTAAGAAATAAGGGGAAAGCAAATTTGTACATACAAGGGTGGGTACATAAATTTTGACAATATTTGAAGATGCACAAGTAGGTAAGCTCTAAAGTCTAGCAAGAATCTACTATTGGATGTAAAAAGTCCAGACCAACAAATAATTCAACTGAACTAACTAAGAATTTGATGAAGCATATCACAGCGCTGGATATCTTTTTTTCTCGAGCACGCAGGAGACCTGTGTATTATTACATTGAGAAGGAAAAGAAGGGGTAAGAACCCTTACAAGGCACACACCCGGCCACCTACAAACCTTATCTCAGGGATCTGTCTAACTGAAGTTCAGAGCTGACGAGAAATTCAAAAACCAAATTCAAAGTAGCGGATTTTGGACGACAAAAGCTTAGGGTTTCAGGCGCTCAGATACACATATTATGCCAGCAAGACAATCAGCAGTCCAGTATTTGTTGTGCACCACTAGCCACATGAAAAACGGCGTTTGCACGGCTCGCAGGTCTTCCAGATGCGAACCCAAGGTTCAAAAAGGGTAGCTCCCTGGAAAAAACCTCTATAGACTGACTTAGCCGAATAATGTCCACAGGCTAAGAGTTTCCAGTCCTCTACTCCTGGTTTCAGTACTGTCTCCGACAAAAGATCCCAAAGCTCCATATGTTTGACTAGCTCATTGCTGACTATGCCTGATATAAACTACTGACTATGTCCGATAAAAAACTGCTCCCTCCGTTCACAAATATAAGATGTTTCGGATATTTCAATATGGACTACATACGGACTGAAATGAGTGAACAAACACACTAAAATGTGTCTGTATACATCCGAACCATAAAAAAGTTAGAACATCTTATAATAGTGGACCGAGGGAGTACTAGCTAGTTCATTGCTGTCAAATAGTCCAAAGGGGCCCAGTGTATTCATCTACTAGTAATCAATTCACAAATAACATTTTCAGCTTCTTGAGAGTTAGCCCTGAATATCAAATACGCAAACAGCATCGCCGAATTTAAGGTGTCCTTAACTACATCTATTTCTTATAGTTTCTTATGGGTCTCATCTACTCCCAAAGCTGGCCTACGGCATATCATTAGGGGGGGATTTTCATTACACACTAGTAGGGAAAAGAATATCAGAAGAAAATTAATTTCAAGAAAAAGTAACACTTATGTGGCAAAAAGACAAAGCATCACTTGATCTGCTCACCACAAATGAAGGTACCTCAGAGGCTCAGATTAATGTTTACCCATTTGTTGTAGTCGCAGGAGCCCACCTCTCTCTTGGTAGCCTTTTCTGTGTGTGTGGCTGCTCTACTTGGGAACGGGAGGACTGATGCCTTCTTCTAGGTCAGCACCTCCTCATGGGCTTGGGCCCTAAGTGACAAAGCTAGATGGGCTTGGCCCATACCGGTTCAACACTCCCCCTCAAGATGGGTGGTAGATATCTATCATTCCCATCTTGTCACATGCCAAGTTACAGTCCTTCGTTCCCAGTCCCTTTGTCAAGCAATCTGCAAACTGTTGCCCAGAGCTGACGTGAGTAAGACTGATGATCCCAGCATCAAGTTTCTCCTTAATGAAGAAGCGATCAATTTCCACATGTTTTGTCCTATCATGCTGAACTGGGTTATTAGCAATGGCTATAGCTGACTGATTGTCACACCACACCTTCAAGGGTCCCTTCCTCAGAAGTTTCAACTCGCTCAGTAGGTACTTCACCCAGAGCATCTCACATAACCCTTGAGATAATGCTCTATACTCGGCTTCTGCTGTTGATCTAGACACAACAGCCTGTTTCTTGCTTCTCCATGACACCAAGTTTCCTCCCACAAACACACAGTAGCCAGAAGTTGATCTTCTATCATCTTGACAACTGGCCCAATCAGAGTCACTATAGCCATCCACCTCAAGATGTCCACTCTTCTGTCTCCTCAATAGAGGGCAGGAGAGGTTGGTGCAACAGGGATGCCCTCCTGCCATGAAAGCAACCTCTAAGCCCCTCCAACAGTTTCAGCACACGCCTGCGTGCAATCCACTTGCGCCCTGACTCGATGCAAGCCGCATCATAGAGTTCCAGAGGGTCGCAGTTATCCTGCTCTGCCCACAAAGCCTGCAGCTCTGCCACATATGTCATCACTGACATGTCATCACCTTGATGCAGCCGACTGATCTTCCCCTCAATCTGAGCAATGAGCATGACATTGCCCTTACCTGAGTACAAGGTGGACAGAGTCGTCCATATCGCAGCGGATGTGGATAGCCCCTCCACAGAGCGTCCAATGGGGGGCACCACCGAGTTCAACAACCAGCCAATGAGCACAGAGTTTATGACCTTCCATCTCTTTCCCTCCACGGTAGTCTTGTCTCCTGGTTCAGCAACAGCACCCAACAAGTGCCCATCAAGCTCCTTCTGTTCCACAGCTAGCAACGCCCTTCGGGACCAGCTCAGATAATTGGTAGCCCCCTCTAACTTCATGTCCATGGGCGACAGTTCGATCTTCTGAGCCACTTCCTGTCGAGGAACGATGGCCCCAGATTTCGACTCCTCGAGGATCTTAGCTAGCTTCTCGAAAGCCTCAGCAAGGCCTGTTGGCTCACTCATCTTCGGACACAGCCTACACAGCCAACAATAGCAGCAAGCACAGCCGCACACAGTCCTCTGCAGAATCAGCAGTCTCCAGTTCCCTTTCAATCAGCAGCACAACACTGCCCCACTTCTCCTTCTGATTTAGCCGCTGCACACAGCAGCAGTTCCAGCAGCACACCTCCTGTCAGTCCCCTCAACAGCCCCTCCCGTATGCGCATCTCCTCAGCTCGCGCCGCCCCCTTGTCTTCCTCACTCGCACGCAGCTACTGGCGCAGCTCCCCTGCAGCTGCGAGAGGCCAGCCAGCGCACAGCCGCGAGAGGGAACAAGAAGGGAATGAGGGGAAGAGGTAGGAGCCCGCGCGGAGGTGAGCCCAGTCCGCCTCCTAGGTCCGCCGTCGCCGCCCTACTCCCGTCAGGCCCCATCGTCGCCGCCTAGGTCTGATACCATGTTGTAGTCGCAGGAGCCCACCTCTCTCTTGGTAGCCTTTTCTGTGTGTGTGGCTGCTCTACTTGGGAACGGGAGGACTGATGCCTTCTTCTAGGTCAGCACCTCCTCATGGGCTTGGGCCCTAAGTGACAAAGCTAGATGGGCTTGGCCCATACCGGTTCAACACCATTAACATCGAAACTCATCAACATTTTTTATCTGAGTAAATTACACAGGACCACACCTAATCCGGATGTGCTCAGGCAAAACCACAGTTCCTTTTTTTTTCTTTTCTTTTCTTTTCTTTTCACATAACCGTACTAACCCAGCCTTTTGCCTCTCTGACCACCAAATCTTAGCAGCATGGACCGCATGTTCAGTGAACATCTGGCAAAAGGGTGCCATATCCTCTGTTTTGGTTGCTGTGTTGCCTAATATCCAAAAGGCTGTGGTTATGTGAAAAGGGATAAACAATGTGGTTCCCCATTAACACCGCCTCAAAAACTGGAGTTCTATTACATTTGTTCTCTTTTCAGATGACAGAGAACAAAAGACAGCTAGCAAAAAAAATAAAAAAAAATGTACCACAAGGAAAGAATAGTGCATGTGCAGGGAGCAGCGACACACAGTGAAAATAAAAGCTGTGTGCAACAAAAATCAAAGTTCAATGGTCTCTGTAGATGCATAGGTGCCAAGGAGACAGCATTCAAGCTAGCAGGACCTGCTCGACTGCATTGCTCTGCACGAGCCGGACCTGGAGATGGGAGAGGACAGCAATAGGTGGCGTCTAGAGCCTCTGGGCAATTCTCCTCTAAATCCCTCTACCAGGCTATAGCCCCTTCGCCGGGTCCTGAGGCTCTCACCACCATCTGGGCGATCCGGCTCCCCTTAAAGATTATGATCTTCTTGTGGCAATGGGTTCGCTGCCGCCTTCCGTCCGGCATAGAGGTCCTGAAGCGCAATGGCCCTGGGGACGGGCGATGCCCGCTCTGCGGACCTGAAGAGGATACGAACCATATCTTCTTCTCCTGTGTGTCCGCGCAGTTTCTTTGGAGCTATTTCCGCGAATTGGTGGGTGGAAGCTGGGACCACAACAACTTCCCTGCTCTCTTCGCCGAACTCCAAGCGTCACCACCCGCGTCTCGCCACATTAGGTGGCTGGCCATCGGTGTGCTAGCCTGGACTATTAGGAATAAGCTTGTGATTCAGCACGTACCTCTTCGTCGCGCTACTGACGCTTTGTTCAAATGGTCTGGTTACTTGCAGCTTTGGCGGCCGCTTAGCCACCCCAGGGAGAGAGACGCCATCACCTCCATCATCACCCAGCTTCGCGCGATGGCTCCCCGGATGGCTTCTCCGCTTCCCCCACCACCTCCAGAGCCGGATTAGATCCTCTCTCCTCGCCACCACCGCCGTTTATGTGTTGTGCGTGCCTCATTTCTGTGTTGAGCTTGTTGTGCTGTGCCCACAGCTGAACCTTGTGTAGTGTTTGCGTGCGTGTATGTTGGACCTTGCCTGCGTTGGCGTTGTGTGTGTGTGTGTGTTGTTCACTTGTTTGGCTGGTACCTTGATGACTTTGTGCTTGGTGGTTTGCTTTATTTATAAAGCGGGGCGAAAGCCTTTTTCGGTAAGCTACCAGCAGAAGGGCAACACAGAAGCTAGCGCGTCCTCAACATGTGCCCTCAATATTGAAAAACAGTCAAATGTCCAGAATTTAAGATGTACTCCCTCCGTCCGAAAATAAGAGTCACTGATTTAGTACAAAGTTATACTAAATCAGCGTCACTTATTTTGGGACGGATGGAGTATATGTGTAGCTGCTAGGAAATGATCCACGATATAGCTGTTTAGACGGCAGAAAGAGAAGCCTAGAGGTGAAAAGTGCATGATTTAAGAGTCAGAGAGTGCTACATATTCGGATAGGGATAACAATTGACAAGGGTCAAGTACACTCATGACTTGTTTGGTTCATAGCTTAAAAGTGCCTAACAATTTATTTTTTTGCTTAATTGGCCTAACTTGTGGTGAAGAACAGCTCCACACATCAAAACAAAATTGGCCCTTTATTAGTAAAATATTTGCTTAACTCGCCTAACTAAGGTACACGGAATATTACGGATTAGCAGTGTTCTGAGGACATTTCAGAATAGATCAAGAATAACATTTTTCGCCCGTACACTACAAAGAAATCACAAAGGGAATATATTTTTGTGACATAAACCTCTCAAACTTTTGGGCACTCTCTTCATCATCACCAGGCTCCTCATCCAGTACTTCAAATCTGCAAATTCATTAAGAGTGAATGAGTACTACTTCCCTGAATAGTATAGGCTAACCTGCTATAAATTGTATTGCATATAATGACCATGGCAATTGCATTTGTACTTACTCAGAAGTTGATAGTCTATCTAGTAAACAAAGATCGCACGTAAACAATACTCTCAAACCCAAGTTCATTCCCCAATGAAACGCCATGAGCCAGCTCATGACTCTCATGCCCTCAACTGTGGTGTGCTCGCGCTGCTGCGCCCTCTTTCCCCAATGATTTTTTAGCTGGTGGTCGCCGGCTTGAGCCGGCTCATGACTCATGCCTCCAATTGTGGTGTGATCGCGCTGTTCCAGCATTGTCTGCTTTCCCATGCTTCTTATTGTACGCGGATGACGTGGTTCTTCTGCAACCCGACGGCAGGCATGCGCCTTGCCTCCAAGGAGATCCTCATGCTCTTCGGCGACACTTCTGGGTTTAGGTACCTATTATGAAAAGAGCGCCACCACTGCCATCAATTGCAGCAACGACGAGAAGACGCCGATCGGCTTGCAATTTGGTTGCCAGTTCCCAATCACTTACCTAGGGATCCCCCTGACCATGAGCAAGCCATCTAGCAACCAGATGCAACGCCTCGCCGACCAGATCGCCAACAGACTGCCTTCCTGGAAGGCGAAGCTTATGTCCAACATAGGGAGGGTCGCCATGGTCAACTCGATGCTTACCTCCTGTTAGAATAAATCCGAGGCGCATAGTTGATCTACCGAGGACCAAGCAATCACACGAGCACAGCCCCGAGATTCGTTAACGAGGTTCACCGTCATGGCTACATCCCCGGGGATTGACTACGGGCGCTCCTCGCCGTGACACCGTCACAATACCGCACACCGGCCACCCGGGCGCCGGCACACGCTGCCGGCTCCCCCTGCATACATGTGCTATTATGTTGGCTTAGATTACATCGTGTGTCTACCCCCTCGTATATAAGAGGCCTAGGATACAAGTGTCCTATTAAGACACGACTCCGTAATCCTATCTACACACCATACAACTCAGAGTCCAACTGTAACCTACCTTGTACACTAATATTCGACACAACTCTAACAAACTCCACCTTGGAGAATATTCTCCATCATCTTGGATTCATCGATACGTCGAACCTCCATGTGCATTGGACTTGAGATACGCCATGAGCACCGCTGCTACTCCCAAACTCCATGTAACTCCACCTGCAAATTTAGTCCCTTCACAGTCAATACTCGCGCAAAATTAAGTTCCTCATTACACAAGTTTGTGATCCCAACTTCCGGAGTATTCATTCGACACCATCACACACCGATCACTGATCTGCATGAAAGTGAACAACTCACCTATTGGACGCCACATATAAGAGTTACCTGAACTCAACATCACCACTCTTTCCTGACCTCTGTCTGAAACTTGAAGAAATTTCACCGAAATTTCACCGTCGCCCTGTGTCACCTTGAGTCAAAATCGCAGTTGTCTCATCCTTTTTTCCGGATAGTCTCTTACATGCCCCACAGCTATAGCACTCCGTCTCCTTCTGTATTTGTCACCCGCACATTGACATATGCACCAAACACCACAGAATAGGAACTGGGGTTTTGCCCTACCTAGGGCGTAGGTTGTAGGGAAAAGAGGGAGGTGGGCGAGGGCTGGAGCGCGGCGGCCGGCGGCGAGGCGCCGTCCTTGCGGTTCGGCGGCGGCGGCACAAGCAGGAGGCGGCTAGGGTTTTAGGGTTCCGGCTCCTCTGGGAGCCGGGCAACAGAATAGTCTTATTGCTTAATCTGAAAATAGTCTTACAACTTGTATATATAACCACGATCTGAAAATAAAACTAAGATAACTTGCGGCCTAAGCCTGCCCGGTGGGCCTCCTACGGCTGTAGGCCCGGCCGGTCATAACATCTCTCCCCGCCTGCGCAAACAGCTCGTCCTCGAGCTGAAAATCTGGATAGTGTTGGCGGACTCCTCGCGCTGCTCCCAAGTAGCATCCTCTTCAGAAAGTCCACCCCACTGGATCAACACGTACCAGGAGCCACGACGCAGCTGAGCCTTCAACGCCTTCACCGGCTCCGGAAGTAGGCGATCATCAGCAACCGGCGGTAGAGTGGGGGAAACCGCAGGTGGCTCTCTACGGAAGGGCTTGAGCAAACCCACATGGAAGACATCATGGATCCGTGCACCCGCCGGAAGCTGAAGACGGTAAGCCACCTTCCCAATGCGTTCCAGGATAGCAAAGGGACCGGCATAACGAGGACCCAGCTTCCTCTTCGCACGGGTGTCCAGGGACTGCGTAGAGCGATGAAGTAGACGCAGCCAGACCCAATCACCCACCACGAACTCCGCCTCGCGATGGTTGTCGTCGTAGTAGTGTTTGGCCAACTGTTGGGCCTGGAGGAGGCGTTGCCGGACTTCTGCCAGCATCTCGTCACGGTTCCGTAGAAGAACCCCGGCCGCCTCGGTCCGCGCCAGGGCCGGATCAACCGGAAGAATCGGCGGGGGTGGCCGGCCATACACCACCTCAAACGGCATCGCACGGAGGGCGGAGTGATAAGAGGTGTTGTAGCAGTACTCCGCCCATGATAGCCAATCGACCCATGCGCGAGGGCGATCACCTGTGACACAACGCAAATACATGGCAATCACCTTGTTAACGACCTCAGACTGGCCATCGTTCTGAGGATGGAAGGCTGTGCTCAGGCGGAGCTTAACGCCTGCCAGCCGGAAGAGGTCGCGCCATACATGTCCAGTGAACACGGGATCCCGATCACTGACGATCGAGGATGGAAACCCGTGGAGACGGACAATACCGTCGAAGAAGGCCCGAGCAACAGATGCCGCCGTGTAGGGATGCCCGAGCGCGATGAAGTGGGCATACTTGGAGAAGCTATTAACCACCGTGAGAATGACGGACTTGCCGCCCACTTTGGGGAGGCCCTCGATGAAGTCCATGGAAATGTCCACCCAGACCTGGGATGGCACCTCCAAAGGCTGGAGCAAACCTGCCGGCCGTAGCGTCTCCGTCTTGTTGCGCTGGCAGGTCACACACGACCGCACCCAGTCACGGACCAAGGCACGATCACCTGGAATGTAGAAGTCGGCGCGGAGACGATGGAGCGTCTTCTGCACACCCTCATGGCCCGCCGAGTGAGCGCGGCGCAGCACCTAGTGACGAAGATCATCATGCGCCGGAACGAAAACCCGACGCCCATGTAGCAGCAGGCCGTCAGCGAGGCGCCACGGCGCATCCAGCTCCCCCGCAGCGAGCTGCTGCTGCAGGAGAAGCGCGTCGGCCGCCGCGGCCGTCGCCCGCCGGATGTCGGCGAAAAGCGCGAAGGAGGGCCCGGTGATGATGCAGAAGGCCGCTCCCTCAGCCGACCCATCGTCAGTGTCGGCGTCACGCCGAGATAGGGCGTCGGCGACCGTGTTAAGGCGACCCGGACGGTATTCGACAGTGAAGTCAAACCCGAAGAGCTTACTGATCCACTGGTGTTGCGGTACGGTCGAGAGCCTCTGATCCAGCATGAACTTGAGGCTGTAGTGGTCCGTCCGGATCCGGAAGGAGCGACCCCAAAGATAGGGCCACCAATGACGCACCGCCTGCACCAAGCCAATGAGCTCACGCTCATAGGCCGCCAGCTTAAGATGGCGGGCGGCAAAGGGCCGGCTGAAGAATGCGAGGGGTCCATCGCCCTAATGAAGGACCGCACCGAAACCCGCACCCGAGGCGTCGCAGTCAACGGTGAACGGTAGGTCGAAATCAGGCATCTGCAGGACTGGACCCGTCGTGAGGGCCCCCTTAAGGGCATCAAACGCGGTGGTGGCCTCCGCATCCCAAGAGAAGGCGTCGCGACGGAGAAGGCGTGTGAGCGGGGCCGCGATGACACCAAACTCCCGGATGAATTTCCGGTAGTATCCCACAAGGCCCAAAAAGCCGCGAAGGGCCCGGGGCGACTGCGGAATCGGCCTGGCGGCGACGGCCGCCACCTTGTCGTCCATGGCCACTCCCTCGGCCAAGATGACGTGGCCGAGGTAAGCGACCGATGGCGCTATAGATAAGAATGTCATCAAAGAAAACGAGCACAAACCGACATAAGTAGGGCCGAAGGACATCGTTCATCAAGGCCTGAAACGTCGTCGGGGCGTTGGAGAGGCCAAAGGGCATCACCAAGAACTCGAAGTGGCCGTGATGAGTCCGAAACGCCGTCTTGGCGATGTCGTCTGGATGCATGCGCACCTGATGGTGCCCCGACTGGAGATCCAGCTTCGTGAAGAAGCGCGCTCCATGTAGTTCATCCAGGAGTTCATCGACCACCGGGATAGGGAACTTATCCTTAAGTGTGAGACCATTAAGGGCGCGGTAGTCGATGCAGAAGCGCCACGTGTCGTCCGACTTGCGAACGAGGAGGACCGGCGCCGTGAAGGGTGATGTGGAGATCCGGATAATGCCCACGGCAAGCATGAGTGCACACTGCCGCTCCAACTCGTCCTTCTGCAGCTGAGGGTACCTGTAGGGTCGTACTGCCACCGGTGCCAAGCCTAGCAGGAGGTGAATACGGTGGTCGTAGACCCGGGCCGGCGGAAGGCCCTGTGATTCCTCAAAGAGATCACTGTGCTGCTGCAGGAGGTTATCTAACAGCGGATGCTCGGCCTCAGTGGTGGCCGCGGCCAGCTGGAGCGGAGGCGTCGCCGGGGTGCCTCCAACACCCTCCCACCGGATGCGTCGGCCGAGACGCCAGAAGGTCATCGTCAGAGCGTCAAAGTCCCAAAGGATGGGACCGAGAGTCCTTCAAAAGTCGACGCCGAGGATGAAGTCGAAGCAGCCCAAATGAATGCCGGCGCAAGTGATGGTGAAGTGCTCGTCGCCGATAGTAATGGGCACGTCCCGAGCAAGCCCATGGCAGCGGAGGCGGTCGCCATTCGCGACGGTGACCCGCAGTTGTTCCCCGCCGATCGGCTGTAGCGCGAGGCACCGCATGGTAGCCTCAGGTA